TGGCAAAGAACCTTTTTTAAGCCACATCATTTGAGGAATTTCAACAGTACAACAACTAAACTGGATAGCACATGTAATTAAAATAGAAAATAATCGTATAATCAAAACATTGACTCATCACACAACTTTCAACAAAAGCTAGGAAGAAGCTCCTATCAATACTGGAAATATCCATAAGTATTACTGAACTTGGGAAACCTATTCTCCTGGAAAAATGTGGTAATACAGTTATTCCCAAAAGGTTTGACGCATCACATAGGTACGAATGAGGAGGACAGCAGGGGAGACGGAATGTTTGAAAGACGATCAAAAATTTAGAAACAGGCTAAAACAATTCATATTGCAACAATAAATATGATTTCCAAATTTAAAATATTATTATGGATTGTAATTGCCTGCATGATTTCCTTTATAAAAAGTAATAAATAGTTATTGACTGATTTTGTAATTGTAATACTTTAGCATTATACCAAATATTACGAATATAGTAACAAGGGTCGGAAAATTGGAGGAAAGAATTATCTATGATAGCGACCTATATTTTTAATCCCTGGTTATCTCCCATTAATCCACTCTTTCTCTCTCTGTTTTTTTTTTATTTTATATATATATATATATTTTTTTTTTACATAAAATTTGGTGAGGCGCGAGCAAATTTTAATGCCGAAAATGCGGCCGAGAGACAAAAAAAATATGAACCACTTTTTAAATAGAAATATTTTATAAATTGAAACCAAATTTAGAACAGGCTGTTCGGTCACTGAATGCCGAATGTTTCCTTATAAGGAAACGGTTAATATTACAATTACCGTTAACGTAAATTCTTTACTATTATGCTTTCATTTTTGGTGTTGTTTTTCTTCTTTAATTAAGAAATAGTAAACCAGTGCGTATTTGCTATTTTCGTGACTAATTATCTATCCTACTTTGTAAGCCAGGAAGCACTCGATTTAAATTCTAATTTATAATATTTCTCACCAATCAAATTAATAGCCGACAGCAAATACTGTCCGTGACAATCCAATCAAAATCATACACGACCTCGCTGCGCGTTGATATCATATTGATATATTGACCTCGTGAAACTAAACGTGGTCGACCGTATCGAATGACTATTAAACGTCCATTTATTTTCCTTCTTTCTTCTCTCATTAGCCTCACAGCTACATAGTTATTAACAACAAACCTTTCGTATATATTTATGTGCCCTTTACATTTAATGGATGTCGAGATGATCTTAATTACTAGTAAACAGTGGGTAACTGCGGCAAGGAACAACTTTTAAAATTTAACGCCTCCAAAACAAAACTGCTTTCATTTAATCACCATTAATTTTCTCTCTGTCATCAGCATGGCTGATGCCAACCTTCAGGAAATCAACCCATTACGCCTTCTTAGGATGTCATAAAGAGGAATAATTTTATTGAATCGATTGCAAAATCTACTGCTAGGAAAGTTGATTCACTGTGCAGTGCCAGAAGATTTATCCTTTAAGAATCCATCTAGCAGATTTATAAATCTACCATTCACCATTGCATTGGATATTGCTTTTATATCTGGTTTGGTGCTTCTGATATATATCTCGAGATTCTTGATAAAATTCAAAGAAGGGTCTGCAGTGTAGTAAATCCTGACATGGCATCTCGACTTCAATCATTTTCTAACCGACGTGACGTGGCTTCCTTCCGTCTATTCTACAAATATTTTTGTGGCAATTTTTCTGTTGGGTTTTCCTCCTTTGTGACTTGATTGTTTATATTTAAGATTGGCATCTGGCTCTCACCACTGAACTGTTGAAATTGCAGGATAGAACGGTATGTTTTATATTATTAGTTTTTTTTCTTACGTGTTAAAATTTCTTTCGATTTCTTGCTTAGCAATCAACGACAATCTTCAAAAATTTGAAGGTAATATAAATAGCCATCTTTTGTTTTCCGGAAGGTTTTCTTTTATATTTCTCTCCCCTCATTGAAGTCTTCTCATGCCCTTTCTCTCCCAGTAGCCTCTCGCGTCTTGGTGGCATTATCGACCTGCTTGGGGTGAAATGATTTAAATATATATAATTTCGTTTACATATCAGGTTGGTGCAAAAGTGATGCCCGATTTCAAAGTCTATATTAAAAATGAAACGGTTCATAATGATAAAAATATTTATTTGTTAGCATAATCTCCTTTGCTGTCTAGAACATAATTCCATCTGTTATTACACTTATAAATGACACGCCTTTAAAATTAGTTACGTTTTGAAGCAAAATATTAATCCAACTCTTTTTCAACATTTCTTCTCTTGATGTCAATCTAAGAAAATCCAAATAAATTTTCGTCCTGGGTAAGACGTTAAACTACATCCGCGTCCTGCGTAAGACGATAAACTACGTCCAGCAGCAAGGCATTTGATCGGGAGCTTTTGAGGAGCGTGGAACCACATCTTAATTGCTGGTGTTCCCAGGTCCACACTGACCCAGGGTGGTAGCACCTGTTAGGATCTCAGATATGGGCAAATAGTTTATTATTACCAGCATTACTTTTTGAAAAAATTATTACCAGCAATAAAATTTCGAAGTAAAAATATTACCAGAAACAGATTTATGATAAAACAAAATATTACCAGCAATAAAGAATTTTGTCGGCATTGAATAACCCATTGGGTTTGATATGCCGTAAAACAAAATAAACCAAACCAAATAATTTTCTATTACCTAAGAAAAGACACTTTTGGTTCAAAGCTGTTTTGAAACGACGAAGTTTATCACATTACAGATTAGCTGTAATTGTTTCATTGTTGTAAACTAGGGAAGGTTACTGAATAGAAAAATCAAACGATTGAACAAATGAACGATAATACTTCGAACAAGAACAACACATATAAGATTCGGCAGAAGCGTATAGAAGTAGTAAACTGCTAGAAGTGAATCAAGTGAATTCCACAATGAATCTCCAACCGCAGGATATCTCCCAACCGCCCCACGCAGACAGACGTGGCACAAGACCAACTTGAATTTGGTGTATCCGAGCCCGTAGGCTCGGCCAAAAATTCTCCTTAGCCCGTTATAAAACGGGTTGAGGTAGCTGTTTCCTGAGACGAGACTCGGGACTCGTTTGGGGATCCTCTCTGCTCGAAGGTAGAGAGTTTGACCAGTACAGCCGGAGAGGAATCTTCAACTACAGGATATCTACCAACCGCTTCACGCAGACAGATATGGCACAAGGCCGAATTTAATGTGGGTATCCGAGCCTGTAGGCTCGGTCCAAAATTCCCCGAGGACACCGTATAAAACGGGATCGGGTAGTTGTTTCCGGAGACGAGACTCTGCCCTTCGACATAGCCTCGTCTTGCGATTCTATCTGCCCGGAGGCAGAGAGTTTGACTAGCACACCTGGAGACGAATCTCCAACTGCAGCCCAAGATACAGTATATCCGTTACTGTCGGTAGGTGTGTGTTGCGGTAGGATCCACCTAATTTGCATAGTGGAGTACCGACCATATAAATATGGTTGGTACCGGGAAGAGAGGGAGGAATCAAGAGATTCAACCAGAGACTCTGCCCGACTGCGACTCAGTCAACACATTCTCGAGGAACGGTCTTACCAGGAATATACAAAAGACTATATGTAAATATTGTGTACACTTTCTTGTTTCAATACATTTTGTTCTAAGTACATTTTGTGTTGCATTATTATTCCATGCATTAGTCAAGTTTCAACAGTATGCTACAACATTTTTATTGTTGTTTAGCAGTTGGTAATGAACAATTCCTTCAATATCCCACCATACACTCAACATGATCTTATTCGATGTCACACCATACACTCAACATGATATCCTTTGGATGAATCCTTCTCTTTGTTTCTGAACAGATTTTCTTATTTAAGTAATCCACGATCAGCAGCCTTTAACGTTATAGTAAAGGATCCACTTCTCTCACCTGTAAGAACCTAACATAAAAATGGTGTAGAGGTGACGTGAAAGCAATGATTAACAATAAACAGCACCCTGTTGCAGATTCTCTGGAGACACTTTGTGTGGGACCCATTAGCGAACCACTGAAACCTTTCCGATACTTTTCAGTAGCACGGTTGTAGGGTCCACGTTAAATTGTTGTGCAAGTTCCTTAGAGGTATTGGTGGCTTTGTCTGTGAAAACAGTATCTAACACTTTCGAATCAAATTTCTTTGAACGACCTGCTTTTTTTGCTCATCTTCCAAACTGAAATCCCACTTCGTAAACGGGAAGACCACCTCTTGCAACTTCTTGCATTCAGTGCATCATCTTCGTAAGCGCTGTGGACAGACTATTTTGCTGCACTTGCATTGATATGTGTCTGAAACTCTTAGAGTAACATATGCTGTATGTGATTTTTAGATGGGACAAACATAGCTGCGAATATTGTGGAAGATTATGTAAAATATTTTTATTATGTAAAAGAGAAAGATATAAATTACTTATTGCAACATACCTAAACTATAACGAAACGCACAAATTTCATTAATACTATCTAAAAATTTCTTCTCAAAAATCGGACATTACTTTTGCACTAAGCTGATAATATTCAACATCAAACCTTAAGAGATATTAACCGGTACGCTTTCTTTATTACATAGGCTTTCATTGTATACGTAATATTTAAGTGTTTGATGTTTCTGTTGTATGTTCTGAAATATTGCAATTACATTTAACGAGTGAATAGATTATCTCAGATTGTGATAGATAGCAAGGAATTAATATGGAATTTAGGAAGTAACGAGAAATAGATATTCAGTATACGATCTTTGCGCACTGATGTCACTTCAACTTCAAGAGATTGCGTTAACTCTGATATTGGTCCTTCAAATATGAAAAATGCATCTTTTCAGTGGCCACCTAGAGTGCAAATGAGGGAGTGGAATGAGGGGAAAATAAACTACTTGGTTTTAATTTAAAAATGAAAGAAATTAGGGAACACAGAAGTATTTAATATCTCCTGCCAATACCTAAAAAATAATGGACTATTCCGTTTGTTTCAGTGAGGAAAGAAAGAAAAAATAAGAAAGAAAAATAAGAAAGAAAAATAAGAAAGAAAAATAAGAAAGGAAAAATAAGAAAGAAAAATACGAATGAAAAATAAGAAAGAAAAAAGAAAGAAAAATAAGAAAGTAAAATAAGAATGAAAAATAAGAATGAAAAAATAAGAAAGAAAAATAAGAATGAAAAATAAGAAAGAAAAAATAAGAAATATATATACACAAGCCCAGATTAGACACTGTGTAGCCTATTTACATTACTTACGAGCTGAGCTTTCAAATTATCGACGTTGAATTTTGGACAATACGTTTTCGTACTATGCACAGAGAAACTATTCTGTACAATAATATTTAGAAATATGCTCTTCTCTTAGATTAAAAAGAAAAAAAATATTCTTATTATTATTAATACTAGAAATACCCGTAAAAATTTCACGGTGCTCCTTTTTTAATATTGTGATGAATCTCAAATCTTAAGTTATGGATTGAGTAAGGTCATGGCGAGTACTACGGCAATAAAATCCTCGTAAAAATTCCACTGTTGCATCGGTAAATATTTGAGCTTATCAACTTTAACAATCATTGCCATAAGAATAAAAATAGGAATGTTGGTGATTATTTTAAGAAGTGGGTACAAAAGAAACTGAATTTTTTTCTATTTCAATGACACAGACGTTAAACATTTATATCTTCCGTTTCTTTTTTTCATTCTTTCTTTCTCATTTTTCTTTCTTATTTTTTCTTTCTTATTTTTTCTTTCTTTCCTGACTGAAACAAACGGAATAGTCCATTATTTTTAGGTATTGGCAGGAGATATTAAATACTTCTGTTTTCCCTAATTTCTTTCATTTTTAATTAAAACCAAGTAGTTTATTTTCCCCTCATTCCACTCCATCAAAACGGAATAGTCCATTATTTGTGAGTTATTGTCAGGAGACATTAAATACTCCTATCTTTCCTTCTTAATTTCCTCATTGAAACCAAGTATTGTCTTTCCCGTTCTTTCCACATGATCGAAACAGATTAATTCATTATTTATGAAGTACTAGCAGGACATAAAGGTCGTGCATACTAACGAAGGGAGGGACAAGCCCATAATAAAGATTATTATTATTATTAATTTCAAATGGATTCTTAATCCACATTGTTCGACCGTAGTCGGGATCATCGAAACAATGTGAAGGATTCCTTCTTTAGTAGATTAGTATGTGCTACTCCTGAGCAACATACATGCTTGAATTCAGAGTTACTTTTCTCCTAGACCGGTTGCCATCCAAGGCTATAGAACCCGTTCAGTCCTGAGGCTGAGGGGAGAAGTGGATTCATTCATTTCCAAGGATAATAAGCGCGTAAGGGAATATAATGGAATTTGACCTCGGCTCTCCGATTCATCAACCTGAGTCGCTATCCATTACTCCACTGTGTCTGATTAAATGTATACTTGTACATGCATGGATTAGTATCCGCATTTTATCTGTTATTATCAAAACTTGCCGGGCGATGTACACTCTAACCTTTTACATGCGTCTGTCGACAGAGATTACACTAGGGAATTGCGAACGGAACACTAATCTGCGTTCCTTTGCCCATGACTAGAGATATGACGTCGTCTATAGCGCTCAGTTCCACTGACTTTAGATATGGTGTACGATCTAAATAAAGAGTTTGATTTGCATGTAACGCATATAAAAAGCTGGAGTTTACAAGACTTTTTTCTCCTCAGAAATAATGGATTATTCCGTTTCGATCACGTGGAAAGAGCGGTAAAGACAATACTTCGTTTCAGTGGGAAAATCAAAGAAAGAAATAAAGATAGGAGTGTTTAATGTCTCCTGACATAAATAATGGACTATCACCAAATTCCCAAGTCAACTCTTTAAACCATTAAGCTGTTTCTGTTGCGAAATTATGCGACCACTAACAGAATCTTAACAGATGTTTATTTGAAGTAGCTTATAGAACATCTCGGAAAATAACCTAAAAATGTTTTTATTGTTACACAGGCATCATATATGCTCATTTTTTCTTTCTTATATTGAATGAAATAAAAGAAGCACCAACAATATGAATCGATCCTCACTTGGCATCTCGACTTCCGTCACCTCCTCAACGACTCTCCGTGTCTTGTCTCTGTCTTTTCCGCAAATATCTTTATGGCAACTGCTCTGACGAGCTTTTATCCCTGGTGCCACGCCTCGATGAATTTAAGCGTGCTACTAGATTGACCTCTAGGTCTGACCTTTTTACTGTTGAAATAGTTAAATGCAATCACCATGTATACGCCAAGCGCTTCTTACTCGCACTTCCGGCCTGTGGAACTCCATCCCGTTTACATGCTTCCCTGATAGCTACAATCTTCAGAAATTTAAATGCAACGTCAATCGTCGTCATTCTGTCTTCTTGAATCCGTTCATCTTTTATCCCTTGTTCAATCCTTCCTATACTCAGTCGTCTTACTCAATTTGACTCTCATTAATCTGTTCCCGTCCGATTTTGAGATGAAATTTTTAGGTAGTATTTGTGAAATTTATGAAATTATTAAAAAATAAATTAAAAATATATATGCTCAGATTCCTTTACCTGTGAAATATTGATAGCTCCCTGTGTGTCAATGAAATTGCGATTAGGATAACACTTATAACGTCAAAATTGTTGTTCTGAAACCATTCTATTGTTCTTTATTCTACGAAGAATGCAGTACTGTCTTATATCTATCTATCTATATATATATATATATATATATATATATATATATATATATATATATATATATATATTTAAGTTGTGAAGAACTTGGTAATCCGTATGGGTAATCCCAACGAGGATAAAACCCTGAGAGCTCAATGTAAATCCAGAGCTAATATTTAAAACATAAATAGGTCAAGGTCTGGTCACTCCTCGTCCCCCAATACAAAGTATGCTTGAGAGAGATATGAAATTAATCCCTCCATTACAAAACTTACACTACCCATCAATTTTAATTTAATTTTTCGTTTCATTTCATTTTTGGAAGTGGTATCTGATAATCCGGCGTTTTTAAAAGGGCTCTGGTGAAATAAATTATTATAATGGTACCTTTAAAGTGGTCTTTTTTTTTTTCAATATATATATATATATATATATATATATATATATATATATATATATATTCCAGATAGTAAAAATAATTCCGCTTAAGCATATGGAATCAAGCCACCCGATAAAACGTATTTTGATATCGAGCAGCATTACACCGTCTGTTACTGCATGCTATATTCTTTTTTTTTTTTTTGTTTTTCCCCCTGTGATACGAAAACTGGATTTTTATTGTGCTCGGCCTATTTACGGATGTGTTAAACAACGGGACAATGCTGTATTTGTGAAACCAATGAGCAAATAAATTACACACAAATACACACATATCATTTAAACGTTATTTTTGCTACTGAATATCACTAGAAATGGTTGGCAAAAATTTATGTTCAATATTTGTAGTACATCATATTTTTTTACAATCAAATGAATAAATGTGTAGCATTTTTTAAACAACAGGGCAATAATTTTATTTTAAGGGCAGATAACTTGGTCATTTTGTCAAACTTTAAAATATTGATAGATAGACAGACAAACAGATAGATAGATAGATAGATAGATAGATAGATAGATAGATAGATAGATAGATAGATAGATAGAAAACAGACTGAAAGAAATTTGGAGGTCATTATATTATGTTAATTAATAAATTTGAAGTATGATATATTGAATGAATCGATGCAAGTAGGATAGAAACATATAAACAGACACACGAAAGCGCCCCCATATGTATATATATATAAATAAACACATGTTTGAGTACAACAAAATTTATATATAGTTTTAAAAGCAAGGATTGTATGAATTTTAATTTTAAAAGTCTCTAGGGCCCTTTCAGCCAACATCTAATCAGGAGAAATCGTTGGATTTAAAGAATATTTACGCGATTAGAGCCCTCGTTACAAATATATAAACTTGTTTGTTGTTATAGTGTCTTTCGAGGGGCTCTTTTTTTCTTCATTTGTCGTTAATTTTTTCGCTGATCCAACGATTGTCTCCTGATGAGATGTTGGTTGAAAGAGCCCTAGAGACTTTTAAAATTAAAATCAGTACATTCCTTGCTTAAAAAATTATATATATATTTATAAATATATATATATATATATATATATATATATATATATATATATAAATATAAATATATATATATAGGACAAAATATAATTAACTTTGTATTACATTTATGGGTGAAAGTGCTACATATCATGAATAGAACGTATATAAATATAAAAGTGGAGACTGAAGTCGACACCAAGATTCGACACACTATTTAATTTGAATGCGATCGTCAGGGATTGCGTTTGAAGGAAACAGACCGTCGCCTCTGCATTGGCTTCAATGCCCACATATTATATTATATTGTATTATTTGCATCTCTTTCTTAATATCTCTCTCTCTCTTTCTCTCTCTCTATCTATCTATATATATATATATATATATATATATATATATATATATATATAGATAGATATATATATATATAGATAGATAGATAGATAGATAGATTTAAAAGAAAAAAAAAAACCACTTTAAGGTACCATTATAATAATTTATTTCACCAGAGTCCTTTTAAAGGACGCCGGATTATCAGATAGCTCTTCCAGAAATGAAATGAAACGAAAAATGAAATTAAAATTGATGGGTAGTGTAAGTTTTTGTAATTTAACGGGGAGTGTAAAAGGGATAGTTAGATAGACATGGGAGGGAGGGATTAATTTCATATCTCTCTCAAGTATACTTTGTATTGGGGAAGGAGGAGAGACCAGACCTTGGCCTATTTAGACGGTTAACCTAAGGGAAGTGATATACTGAAATGGGAGGGGAGTAGGAAGAAAAGAAAAAGGAAAAAGAAAAAAGAGAGAGAGGGAAGTAAAGAGAAAGAGGCTGTAATTGGGTTTTAGCAATTTATGTAAAGAATAGATTTTAATGCTGGATAGAAATTTTGATGTCTAAAAAAATATTTGATGTTTGCTGTCAATTTAAATATTTAATTTTTTAAACAAATAGTTTAAGGATTTAACATAAGTTAAATACTATATTTATTAACACATTTATGGAGAGCATATTAAAAAAATACTTCAAATTATAATAGTTTGTTTACCCGATCAATCGTAATTTTTTAATATTGTAAAAATTAGTTACGGTAACATCATTATTAGTTTTACTTTTAATCTAATTTATGAATGCAATTTGTCATTATTTTTATATATATTTTATATATATATATATTAGGTTGGTGCAAAAATAATGTCGTTTTTTGACGTTCAACTTCAAAAGATCATAACTCCTTTCATAATTAACTTTATTAATCGAATTAAGAACCATTAGAATCGACACATTTTTGCCAATGAGAAACAAGTTTATTTATCCCCATTAGCATAGGAATCCGGATTTCTGGAAGTCATTGAAGGCCGATTCGGTATCATCTCGGCTTTTGAAGCATTTTTTGCGCAGGAAGTTGTCGAGAATGCTTAAAAAAGTGATAATCGGTGGGCGAGAGGTCCGGTGAATATGGCGGATGAGGCAGAGACTCGTAGCTCAATTCGTTCAGCTTCTGCAGGGTCAGTTGAGCAACATGCGGGCGAGCGTTGTCATGGAGGAGAATTGGTCCCTTCATATTGACCAATCTCGGGCACATACGTTGGAGCTTCTGGTGCATTTCGTCAATTTGTCGGCAGTACTTCTCCGCCGTAAACGTTTCGCCCGGATTCAAGAAGCTGTGATGGATGAGACCGGCCGCAGACCACCAAACAGTCACCATAACCTTTTTGTGGTGCAATTTCGGCTTCGGGAAGTGTTGTGGAGCTTCTCCGGCATCCAACCACTGTGCCGAACATCGCCGGTTGTCGTAGAGGATACACTTCTCATCACGCGTCACAATCCGCTCGAGAAATTTGGTCGTTTTTGTTGCGCAAAAGGAGCGTAGAAGAGACCTCAAAACGACGATTTTTTTGATTATCGTTCAATTCATTCGGCACCCATTTATCCAACTTTTTTGACTTCCCTATTTGCTTTAAATGGCGAACGACTGTTGAGTGGTCGACCTCGAGTTCAACAGCAACTTCTCGTGTGGTTTTGCGGGGATCGGTTTCAATTAAGGCTTTCAAATGTTCGTTATCAACCGCAGTCGGCCGGCCGCGACCGTCTTCATCTTCGAGGCTCTCGTCACCATTGCGAAATTTCTTGAACCACCGTTGTGCCACACGTTCGTTAGTGGTTCCTGGGCCAAACGCATCATTGATATCACGAGCTGTCTCGGCAGCTTTTCGGCCTAGTTTGAACTGGAACAAGAAAATCGTGCGGATTTGAATTTTGTCCATGTTGTGGAAAAACCTGCAAAAAATAAATGAAGATATTGAGAACGGTAACGAATAACACGATTCGATAGAGCGAAAAACGCGCTTCAAAATGATATATAACATGGCTATATATATCAATGAATTAATTCAGAAATCATATATAAAAGTAACATATTTGAGAAAACGACATTATTTTTGCACCAACCTAATATATATATATGTGTGTGTGTGTGTAGTATATATATTAAGAGACAGATGCAGATAGATAGATAGATAGATAGATAGATAGATAGATAGATAGATAGATAGATATGTACAAACTGAGAGAGATATGCATATACTGAAAAGAACTATAAAGAAATCGATATTTAATTGGTTCCATACATATGCATTCTTATATACACAAACATATTAATTGATTGAGTGAGTATTTGCGCCAGATGTGTTGCGGCCTATGAACACATTTTGTGAAATTTCTAGCTGAATAACATTTATAATTGTGGAGGTCGCTCATATAAATCATGCGATAGATAGATAGATAGATAGATAGATAGATAGATAGATAGATAGATAGATAGATAGATAGATAGATAGATAGATAGATAGATAGATAAGAACAATATAGATATATGTCTATGAGGAGATTGAGATAGATTGATAGATACGAACAAACTAGATGGATGGGTATAAAGACATCGAGATGGTTAAATAATAGATAGATGGAGAGATAGATAGATAGTAAGGTATATAGATATGAACAAAATAACAAAATAGATGTGTATAAGGAGATAGAGGTGATAGATCGATAAGAACAAAATAGACGTGTATCAAGATATCGAGATAGATAGATAGATAGATACTAACAATATTAAATAGATGTGTATAAATAGATCGAGATAGATAAGAACAAAATAGATGTGTATAAAGATATCGTGATAGATAGATAGATAGATAGATACGAACAAAATAAAATAGATGTGTATAAATAGATCGAGATAGATAAGATCAAAATAGATGTGTATAAAGATATCGTGATAGATAGATAGATAGATAGATAGATAGATAGATAGATAGATAGATAGATAGATACGAACAAAATAAAATAGATGTGTATAAATAAATCGACATAGATAAGAGCAAAATAGATGTGTTTAAAGACATCGTGATAGATAGATAGATAGATAGATAGATAGATAGATAGATAGATACGAACAAAATAAAATAGATGTGTATAAAGATATCGAGATAGATTGATAGATAGATAGTTAACTACAAAGAAGTCCAGAGATATCAAGATACCGAAAATTTAGTGTTTAATGCACCGTAATGGATCATGGGACTGAACAACGTCAACCACTTTTAGATTATGCTGTTATTCTTAGGAAGGTCTATTCAGTCAGCATGGTTCAATGTATTAGTTTTTACTCCTTAGTGACCGTTAAACAAAAAAAAGATATAGAAAAAGAAAGAATATAAAATTAACCGTTAAAAGGGGAAGTATTCTTTTTCACACCGGGGAAGATATATTAGAAGTTTCAAAACCTTTCTCTAAAAGGCGCAGTATTAATGTTTTTTTGTTCGTTTTTTTTTTATTTCTTTTTCTTTGTTGTTGCTTGGTTTTTGTTGCATGACTCAGTAAAAGAACAGTTTGGCACAAATCCAAACATTGCACTGGTTATATATTGCTCTAAACATTTCCAAATCTCGTAGGGATGTTCGATTTCCATACGCGATATTTATATTCTCCGAGTGAAAACGCAGTTGTCGTTTCAAAAAGCTATTTGCATTTGAAATTGGGTTTTATATAATAGATTATTGGCAGAATCATATCCGATGAAAATGTATTTGTTTTTCTCTGATATAATAATAGTATTAAACAGGTTTTGAATAGAGTATTTGGAAAAATATTGCGAGAACATTTTAAAACATCTACTGAGGTAGAATTTAACATCGTTCATTTTGCACGTTCGTCTCTATTCAGGACGTCTGCAATGCCAAACTTTGCTATTTTATATCTCGTCATTTTACTATGCTTCCAACTCCCTGTCCAGTCATCCATTTACACACTCTTGTTGTGTAGGTTAAGCTTTATGTGCCTGCGTCTCTTTTACAAACGATCTGTCTAGTGAGTCTCAATTTGCCGAGCATTCTTTCCTCAATAAATCTCCCAGAACAGACAACTGCCTCTTTCTGATTCTACGCATGTGACCTTTTTTCAGTCTGAATTTCCGGTATTAGAATTTTTCATTATTTACACGATTTATATTTAGACTATTGGCTGAAACATGATAACTTTAGCAAAGATGAGGTCAATAGTCCGAATATAAATCGAGAAAATCATTGTCTTTTTTGTTTTAATTTTTAAAAAAAACCTTGTTGCTTACATGCTCAGTCTATGGTATTGCCAACGTACAGATGCCCGTGTGGCGATAAACTAAATCAGCAATACATCTTTGAAGAAATATATTATCAGCAATAGATTTTTTGAAAAAAATATTAGCAGCAATAATTTTTCGAAAACAATTAACAGCAATAAAAATATTTTCGGCATTAAATAACCCATCTAGGTTGATAAGACGTAAAACAAACCAAACCAAACCATACAGATCTCATATATATATATATATATATATATATATATATATATATATATATATATATATATATAAGAAAGAAAAGTAAGATATATAATCCGGTGTTCTTATAGATATTTTCATTTTTACAAAATAGTGCACAATGTAAATTTACAGAGCATTAATATTATAAATTAATTGATTTAAAATATGTTTTTTCGCTACACAGTTCTAACCATGTTTCAAAAATGGAAGCTAAAAGCTTCAAATTTAATTTTGTAATTAAATTAAAGACATTAATTCCATTTAATCCTAAAGCGAATTTTGGTGTAACTTATTTTTAAAATTACTGGGTTTTAAAGGCACGGCAAAAAATAATAATTCACGTTTCCAAGGATACAGAGAAATTCACGTTTCCAAGGATACTGAGATAATTATGATTTTCAAATGGAACTGTGGTCGAAGGGTGTTGCGTAAGTCGTCAGGATAGTGATGTAGTAGTCTGACCGATGTAATTATTTTTTACTTTGCTTTGATCAGGAACACAGTTCGTTAACAGTCATTTGAACGTTTTACACATTTTTAATCCAGAAAAGTTTTTTTTTCTTACCCCTGCCCCTCCCTTAAACAATTGTAGCCCCTTTCATTAGACGTTAGATCAAAATTTGTCGAGAAAATTACTATTACCCTTGCGAATATCACTCTTGTAATTTTCAGGCTCAGCACAATTACATAGGCACAGATATATGCATATCATACACATACACACAGAGAAGATTATAGTGACTCAATTATACTTATCTAGTAGCTGCAGCGTAAGGTTTATCATCTCTCAATTGCGTTTCTATCTTCGGGTAGAGTGCGACTCAGTTGCAGCACCGTCGTAGGGGACAGAGACGCAAATAAGAAAAATGATACTTTGAAGTGCTGTGCCCTGGGAGACAGCTGTCCGATGCTGCACAGTCTCATTGAGAAGAATAAATGCTCGCCACCGAGGCCAGCGCTACCGGGGGCTCGGGGAATTGTTGTCTTTGGCCCGAGTGTACGCGCCCGGATTGCTCACATAAAGCCGAACGTGTTACATCTGTAAGTCTCAGAGGAGGAGACGAGGTAAATATCCTTATGAGTAACTCTCGAGAGACATTTTCTCTATCCGTTTACACAATATATTATTTCAAGTGTTTAAATATGAATTCATTGTAAGAAGGTGTTAATATTTTCCTGATTTCGAAGTAGACAAAACAGATCTTTACTATTACAAATTCGCAGAAATAATTTCAAATAATTCATTCACGTAATTAAAAGAGTTAACCTTTGGCTGCATTAATTTGGGACACTTATTTCTTTGGCCTGTCTTCTGCTACATTTTTATCACAACAAATGTACTGACCTAAGAGAAACAAAAGTGATGAATAATGTTAAGACTTTGTCATGAATCATTATTTCCCGATAGTAAACAAGAAATAAATAAATAGAAAGGCAAACTCCCTTGAGACCTGCATATTGGAAGAGGAAAAAAAAAACTTTTTTACAGATTAATCTCTGTAAACCTACGGTTTGCAGAATATATATAATTTCTAACAGATGTTGTTTGTAGATACATTATTTGGCGAATCAACCTACAGAAAACGATATTAAAATTTGAAAGCGCTTTACATCAAAGGACTGAATCGCACTTTCATTAAAATTTGTTTTATCTAGGTTCACTTCTTAAACATCTTTGAAATTTACGCTAATATCTGTTCCACTCACATGACAGGGGGACCCGTCATTTCCGACTTCATTTCACTGTTAAAACTTTCTTTGTGTACACCCTCATTACAAACTTTAGAAGCTTAAGAAAATAAATACTGCACTGGTTATCTCTCAGATGTATACCCTTGTTCTTTGCAAACAACCAAATATAGGAATATAAAATAACTTTAGATTTATATCTTTATTCAATAAGTCAATACAGCTTCAATGAACGCGTATCTAATTCACAGATGCCCGAATACCGATTAAGATCGCTCGTAAAGTTCAAATGTTTGATAAAATTTGTCGAACATCTGAGGAGTGATTTGATAAGAAATTCTGGAATCGAACAAAGCCATATATCCATTGAAAACTTTTCGCTGTATTAATTATTATTATTTCTTGGTATCTACTGAGCATTTTTGACAACACTTTTCTTAGTTTTCATTAGTTTTATGTCTGTATACGAGGTAATTCTATCTATTATTATTATTATTATTATTATTATTGATTCTGTGTGTGTGTTTGTATTTGTGTCTGTGTGTATGTTATCATCTTGTCAGAGTGTTATTTTATGTGCCTAATTACCAAGTCATTACTGGGACCTATGAATAAAAATGATATTGTAGGTGACTTATCTAAGGACATGTCGGACGTTTCGGTTAAATGAAGAGGGTTTTGCAGAAGATGACTGCAATTCCGTCTAAAGTAATGTTTTGTAGCTCTGAGATGACGATATGTCCAGAAATTGTATCACATTATACTTAATACCAATATTATTATTATTATTTTTATTGTCTTTGATTTCTGGCGTTTACACATTTCTTTCCGTGTCCCGCCCAGGGACCTAAGGTTAGAAATGCCGTCAGGACACTTTCCACTGACAAAAAAAAAAAAAAAAAATTAAATTACATAGATAAAGCCCTTCGTAGGGTGTAGGCTGTACTTGTCAGAAAAATTTTTTGTATCTCGTTGAGGCATGCATTTCCAGGAATTCCTTTAATTAGTCTACTGCAATCTTTTCCAACCAGTCCTAAGGCTCCAACTACAACAGGGGTTGTTGATGTTCCCATATTCCACATTTTCGAGATTTCTATTTCATGGTCCTTGTACTTTGACAACTTTTTGCATATCTTCAAAGATACATTGCAGTCAGCAGGGACTGCCATATAAATAAGGAGTCATCGTTTTTGTTTATGGTCTTTAATAACAATATCTGGCCCGTTGGCCTTGATTGTTCTGTCAGTGTGTATTGTGTAGTCCCATAGAATTGTAAGAGGTCCTATCTCCGTAACCGAGTCTGGGTGCTGTTCATACCAGTTTCTTTCAGTTTCCTTCCCGTAGAAGTTGCAGATTTTCCAGTGCAGATACTGGCCCACCCTGTCATGTCGGGTTTTATATTCAGTGGGTGCCAACACCGTACAACCTGATACAAGATGATCAATCGTTTCTGGATATTTATCACAGAATCTGCATTTTGGGCTGACACAATATTTTAGTATATGTGCTTGATAATTCCTAGTTAGCAAGCATTGGTCCTGCGCAGCAATATTATTATTATTTTTATTATTATTATTATTATTATTATTATTATTATTATTATTATTATTATTTTTTACTTATTTATGCATTTCCTTTGATTTCTTCTTTATACACATTTCTTTTCGGATGAAAACCTGAGATCTAAGGTCAGAAATAGTATCATGACATTTTTCTCTGAGGATTTTTGAAAAAAAAAACAAAAAAAAACTCTAAGATCAAACATATTTTAAATAGATAAAGCCTTTCATAATGTGTGGCCTGTAATTGTGAGTAAATTCTTTTTGCATTTATTTAAGGCATAGACTACCAGGAATCTCCACAAGAAGTCTATGAAAATATTTTCCAATCGATCCGAGCATTCTAACTAAAATTGCAGTTATTGATATCGTCATACGCCACATTTTACAGATTTCGGTTTCAAGTCTTTTTTCTTTCGATAGGTTTTGAAGATCTTCAAAATGCTTTTCAGAATGCAAGGATTGCCAT